AAAAAAAAAGAGAGAGAGAAATAATTCCATGCATTCTATTGGACCACAATGCAATAAAGCTCAAAATAAACACTGGACAAAGCTCTACTCACTACACAAACTCATGGCAATTAAACAACACACTCCTAAACAATGAGTGGGTCAAAGGAGAAGTTAAAAAAGAAATAAAAGAATTCCTGAAATTCAACAAAAAGGACAATACAACACAACACAACCTTTGAGACACTTTAAAAGCAGTCCTCAGAGGGAAGTTTATAGGGAAGTGCCTACATTAAAAAATTAGAAAGAGCCCAAACAAATGACCTAACACTGCAACTCAAGACACTGGAAAGGCAAGAACAAATGAAACCCAAACCCAGCAGAAGAGAAGAAATAACAAAAATCATAGCAGAAATTAATGTAATAGAAACAAAGAAAACAACACAAAGAATTAATGTATCTAAGCGCTGGTTCTTTCAAAAGCTAAACAAGGTAGACAGACCCTTAGCCCAGATAACCAAAAGAAAGAACAAATCCAATGAAATCAGAGATGAAACAACAAAATCAGAGATGAAAGGGGGAACATGACAACAGACACACAAAAGATCCAGACCATTATAATGGAATATTTTAAAAACCTATATGCTATTAAATTTGAAAATCTAAAAGAGATGGGTGGATATCTAAAATCATGGGAACCACCAAAGTTAAACCAAGAGGAGATCAACAGTTTAAACAGACCTATAACATATAAGGAAATTGAAACAATACTACAAAGCCTCCCAACTAAAGAAAGCCCAGGCCCAGATGGATTTACAGAAGAATTCCACCAGACATTTAAAGAAGACCTCTAACCAATACTACTTAAATTATTCAAAATGATAGAAACAGAGGGAGAACTCCCAAATTCTTTCTATGAAGCCAGTATCACTCTAATACCCAAACCAGGTAAAGACACAACCAAAAAAGAAAACTATAGACCCATATCCTTAATGAGCATAGATGCAAAAATTCTCAAAAAATACTTGCAAACAGCATACAGACACACATCAAGAGATCATTCACCATGATCAAGTAGGCTTTATTCCAGAGATGCAGGGCTGGTTCAATATATACAAGTCAATAGATGTCATTAATCACATAAATGGACACATTGTCATCTCAATAGATGCAGAAATGGCTTTTGACAAAATTCAGCACAGATTTATGTTCAAAGTCCTACAGGGAATTGGACTGGATGGAACATACCTCAACATAATTAAAGCTATATACAACAAACCCACAGCTAACATCATTCTAAACGGAGAAAAACTGGAAGCATTCCCATTGAAATCAGGAACCAAACAAGGATGTCCACTATCTCCACTCCTTTTCAACATAGTGCTTGAAACTCTTGCTAGAGCAATAAGACAGGGAAGGAAATTAAAGGAGTACTAATTGGAAAAGAAGGTCAAACGATCCCTTTTTGTAGA